TTTTGGAGTGGAGGCATGCCCAAACCTTCCATCCTCCTATTAGTCCACTGAGACAGAATCCAAAGACCAGACTGAGTCCAGATGTTTGGTGCCTCCATGGCTGTAGTTGTATAAGTGTCTAGGAATCAAACCCAGATCTCCTGTGTGGTAGACATAGATTCTACCACTAAACCACAGAAGACTCAGAATAAAACTGTGTCAATAAAATCAGTCAAGTCAAATGCCAGGCCTCTCTGGAATTCTTAATGATCATTTTGGTTGCATTGGGATGAAACTAATAACGATTTTGTTTGATTCATATGTGACTCCCTTTTTACAATGTATTTGTTTTCATTTTGATATAAGGAAAGCAGGGATGGGGTGGGGAAGAGGGGGAGGGATACACTGGTGCACTTGTGTCCACCTTTGATTCCTGCCTGGCACTGGCAGCAGCATTTCTAGACAGGCAACGCTGAGAGAGTCAGCTGAGCTCATGGCTCATTATAATCTACCTGATCTGTTCTAAACACTTCATTCCACAGGGGTTAATGACCCTCTTTTCTTTTTAATGGTCTTGATGCTCCACCAATCAAGCTAAGCTTCATTCTGCCAGGAGAATCGAGAGGGGTACACTGGTGCATTTGCACCCCTCCTTTGATTCCAGCCTGGCAGGGGCATAGGGTATACGGAAAGCAAAGGTGGTAATGACGCTGGTCCTGGTCAGGAAGCTCCTTTTTCACAGCCCTGCTGATTGTTTATAACTTATTCCAGTGAAGTTCTATTTGTTTTTGCTTCATCTTCAGCTGCATAATACAGCTGAAGGCCCAATGCATATTAGTAAAGCTTCTAGTTAATTTTTAACTAGAGAAAAATGTGTGCTGTTATATATGTGATGATGCACCTCACCATCTGCACTCCTCTTTTCAAAATTCTAGATCCACCCATGAAAGAAAGACATACATTTTAAACACTTTCCTTTATTCTTCAGTAGTTAATTCTTAATAAACTTTAATTTGTACAATATCCCAAA